TCCTTCTCAACTCCCTCCCCCCCTCCTCCTCTGTTCCCACCCCTTGGCCTGGCTCCCTTCCCTCCTCCCTGGTCCCTTCCTTCCTTCTTCCACCTACAAACTTGTTTTGAGCTCCTACTCTAGGCACTAAGGGTAAAACCGTGAACACACACAACATGTCACTGAGAGCCCAGCAGCAGGAGGACAACAGCCACAGCTAAGGAGTGGGCCCTGGGGCACACTAGAAGGTCAAGTGTGGCATAAAACAGGGTGGGGGTCTGTGGGGGCCCTGGGGGTGCAGTTGCCACTTTAGGCAAGGTGGTTAGGGAGGCTATGGAGAGGAAGTATCATCTGAGTACCTGTACCTGAAGGAGGTCTGTACCTGAAGGAGGAGCCAAGTGCACGCTAGGGTGCAGAGCCATGAGACGCACCAGCCAGCTGCACCACTGAGGCCTAAGGGCATCTTCGAGTGCCATGGCTGGTGGGTCTTCAGTGATCTTTGCACCCATTTAAGCAGTGGGAAAATTGAGGTGCTGAGGTTGGTGAGGAGCCTGAGGTCTGCCTCCCAGTCCAGAGCCTGACCATCCTCAGTATCTATGGTTCGCCCTCCCTCCTAGGCCCCAGACATGGATCTGTGGGTCTCTTGGCAAGGCAGGCCTAGGTGCAGTCTGTTCATGGCCAGCTAAACCCCAGCCCAGCCCTCAGGAGGCCCAGTCCTGTCTCCTTTCCTTCTGGGGGCTCTGGGGAGGAGGCCTATGGCCTTGAGGTACAGCCCACAAGGCCACATCAGCCAGTCAGTGGGGTAGACGGCGCCCTGTGGGAAAGGGGCCATGGCCTTGGGCATCCAGGCCCAGAGTGGGTGGGAAAGAGACATGGCCTCAAGGGGCTCAGCGAGGCTGCTTGGGGCCACCGTCCCCACAGCGGCAGGACCTCGGGCCCTGAGGGCAGGCTTCTGCAAGAACCATGCTGCCCATCCACTGGCCAGGCAGAGAAACGGGAGTCATGAGGCCTCAGGGCTGCGTTTTCAGAGCCCGCATGCAGTGTATTCACAGGTGACATGGGCAGGACACACAGATCTCCTCATGGAGCATCCTTCAGAGAACCCTGACCTTGGCCAACCCAGAGCGCCAAGGATTTCCCCTTCCATGGTGGCTGGCTGCTTCTCCGAGGCCAGCTCTGTCAGGTCCTTCCCACTGGATTCTTTCCACTGTGTGGACCTGGCCATCTGCGCGCTTTCTGGGGAGATTGGACTCTCTAAGGTGTTCGTGGACCTAGGAGTTGAGGGAAGCCCACTCTAAGCAACATTCTCCAGCCGGTTCTCCAGGTGGGTGTGCCCAGCAAAGCTCCCCCTTGCTGAGGTGTGGGGGGATGGACACTGGCCTGCCAGTCCACCACTGGCTGCTCTCCCTCTGCTGACCTGGCCACTCAAGTCCAGGATGCTTCTGCTCTCCCACTCTGTCAGCCTGTCCCCTCCACCTGAACCGCCTCACCTCACTTGGTCCCAGGCACCATCTTATCTCCTGCTTGTCCGTGGGCTGGTGGGGCGAAGAAGTCCTTGGGGCCAGGCTTTGGGACCTATTATGGTGCAGCCATTTATGTGCCTGAATAGTGCAGCCATTTACGTGATCTTCTGCTGGCTGTTGGAGGGACCCTGGGGTTTCTTAGCTGGTGAGCCATGGAAGAAGCAAGTCTGACTGAGGGTGCACAGAGGTGAGTGAGGGGCTGCACCCCATTTTCTCGGCTGCAGGGTGGCTGGCCACTTCCTTGGGTTCCCAGGGAGCACAGGCCCTGCTCTTGCCTAAACCTTCTCCCATTTTGTCCAGCCCACTCCACGGCTCAGACAGGCCCTTTGGGATGCTTGTCTGGGGACCTCTCAGGGACCAGGCCCCCTGGATGTACCCACAGGCACTCAAGTCTCTGTGTCTGGGCAAGTCCCGTGTTTGCCTGTGTACAGGACTGCGTGCCATGTTGGCGTGTGTAAGGCTGTGGAGGAGTGCACGTGAATGTACGGTAAGCAGGGTTTCTGAGCCTGTTGGTGAGGCAGAAGGGGTGGGGAGTGGGGGAGGGTGGAGTGGCATGTGTCTGTCATGTTTGCGTGTGAAAGCCGTGGGTGACTCCAGGCCTGGAGTGTAGCCACGGGGCTCAGGTTCCCAGCCTAGCTGGGTGAATGCTGCCACCTGCTGGCCAGCCAGGCATGTCCATGTTGGGGGGCTCGGGGAGCAGGACGGGCTATGGCCACAGGAGTGGGCTGACTTGCTCACGCCAGTCCTAGGGCAGACTGCAGCCATGGTGGGTCCCCAGATGTTGTGAGCGCCAGCACCCCAGGGGCATGTGACATCACAGAGTGGTGGTCCGCCCCAGGGCATCTCACCACAACCTGGGCCACAGCCTGGAACATCTACCTTGTTCCTAAGTGATGTGGAAGCTGCTGGCCCCAGGCCCTGTGAGGTATGGAAGGCTAAACAGGGCCACCCAGGAATGGGAGCACCCAGTCTTGCGGGCCTGCTGGGCTCCATGGGTCTCCATGCCAAGTCCCCAGACAGCCTTTCTCAAACGTGGCTCAAACTCACCCACCCCCTCTCTCTTTTGCATGGTACTCAGGGCCCTTCCCATACCTGATGGATCTCCAACTCTGCCTGGGGCCCTGCTCTGGAGACCCCCACCCTAGCCAGAGCAAAGGCCCCATCCCTGACAGAATTTGCTGGAAGGCCTCTAAAGGTGCGAGCTGCATCCGGTTCACTCCCGGTGCAGAAGAGGTGTGTAAATGGGAAATGGATGGCCAGCCCCCCGTGCCCCCGAGTCCCTCATGGCTGCCTGCCTGGGGCTGGGAGCACGCCAGCAGGAAGGGTTAGGACTGAGGGAGAGGACTGGGAAGGGCGTTCCTGATGGAGGGAACTGCACGGGACGGGTCTGGCAGGGTGAAGGTGAGCTGGGCAGGCAGGGGGTGTAGGTGGGGCAGGGGCCCTGTGGGCTTGGCCAGCAGTGATGAGACACCAGATACAGTTGCACACATGGGATCCCTTTCCCCGTGGAAAGAGCTTGGCCAGGCTCTCCTTCCCTCCCTCGCACGTGGTGTCAGGGGCCTGCTCTGAGCAGCTGCCTTCAGGTTCGGGCCCAAATAACCGCCGGGGGTAGGACCAGACGGGTGCCTGCCTCTGGACAGCCTCACCTGCCCTCCAGAAGCTTATCCCGGGCACTGGAGTCTTTGAAGGGACCTTCAGGACATGGTGAACTTGGGGTTCAGAGCCTGTAGTGGGGGAGGGTCTCCTGGTTTCACCCCTCATACCGCCTCTGCTGCCTTCCTGTGTCCCCTACACTGAGCTGCATGAATGATTCCCCATCTCTCCCACTCTGCTCCCCACGAACCCCAGACCAGCGCTGTAAAGATCTCGAAACAAAGTGTGGCTGCCCTGTGGCATCATCTGCACCCCGTTAATCCTGGAGGGGGTGGAGGGACCACTTTGCTGCTGGGGGTGCTTCACAGGGCCAGATAGCTCTGGTGACGGGACAAAAGTGGCACCCGAAGCCGACACTTTATGCGCCAGGCTCCGGGCCCTGGCGGGCAGGCAGGGCAGGGCTGGTTGGAGGACAGAGGCCACACGGCAGAGGCATTCTGTGAAAATAGTGGGAATATATTTGACAGGATGCGTTTGCTGTGATGTGTCCAGTACAGCCTCAGAGTCCCCCTGTGTTTTACTTGTCAGCACTGGAGAGGCATTCTGAGTGGCGTACAACACCGTCCGGAAAGGAGATCTGGGCCTGATTTGTGTCTTTCAAAATACCAAAATAAAAGCTTTTGACATGCACATTGCACCCGAAGTAAAAATGAAAAAAAAAGAAGGAAACAAACCATGAACCTCAGACACCTAAGAACAGAAGGGAGCCTCTCCCACACGCCTACCCTCTTCAAAGACACGATTCTGTGAAAAAGGACACGCGTACCAACTCCCGGGTCACGTCAGTGCATGAGATGCCAGCAGCGCCACACCCGGCCCTGAGTGTCCCAGCCAGTTGCTCTGACTGCAACCCTGGGGCTGGAACCTGCTGGCGGGGGAGCCAGTGAAAGACTTCTCGGGGTGGCTGGGACCTGTGGGCCTTCTGTGCAGCCCCCATCGTGTCTCCGCACCCTGCTCCTCTCCCGTCTCCCAGGTAAAATGAATCAAGGAAGCCTGTATTCACATTACAACATGAAAATAGCACCAGAAACTTCAGAGCTAAATTGCTGATACTTGCAGCCAAGAGCTCCGTGTAGGAGGAAGGCTCTCGAGAGGCAACCACAGAGGCCGGGGAGGGAGTGTGTGTGTGTGTGGGGACTTCGGGATGGGGAGGAAGGACTGGTGGGAGCCGGCTGGTCAGTTTTCTCCCTGTCCAAATGGGAACCCGGTTCTCAGGGGTCAAGGCGCACTGGAGACCAGCGCTTCTGTCAGAGGCATGGATAGTGGCTGTCATGACCATATGGTCAGAGATGGCCTGTTGTGCTCTGGGGGCAAGGCAGCTCACAGACCGCCCTTCTAGCTGGAGAGCCTTGCACTCCCCATTTGGTTTGGAAGGCCACTTTGGAATTGCAGCAACAGCAGCAACAAGACTAAGAGGGGCTTGCTGCGGTACGACCGCGGCTGCCTCAACTTAGTTCCCTGCTAGATGACACGGGGTTGAGCCCTGTTAAAACCTTCAAAGGAGGGGGCACATAGGGTACAAGGTGTGAGCTGCCCTTACTTCAAGTTCTTGGTACTGGAAAAACAGCTGTGTGGTCTCAAAGAGCCCGCAGCTGACCTGTCCCTTATCCTCACTTTCCAGGTGGAAAGGGGTTGCTGTCTGTCAGCCCCAGGCCTGCTTGAAGCATCAGAGTCTCAGCTCTGACACCAGAGTCTGAGCATTTGCATGGTAAGTCAGGTGGATGACGACGGGGCCATCAATCTGGCTCTGTCGGAGGACTAATGCTTGCCAGTGTAGATGGGAGTCCCTCACTCACTGGGTTCGTCCCCCAGCCCTTCTCCCATGGGCTCTCTCACTCCTGTAAATTACTCAGAAGGGTCCTTTTTTAAAGGGATCTTGAAGCTGGTTAGTCTCTGTCCAAAGAGCTGGCTGAGGAGGTCGTTCTGGGATTCAGCTGTCCAGCACGCTCGGGAGTTGGCACGTTCAGCACCGTGGACAGGTCTTCCCCTCTTGGGGGTCCTGTGCAGGGGTCTCACCTGGGAGAAGGCCTTGCCCGACCCATCCTTGCTGCGTCTGAAGTCCCGGTGTGTGTGGCTGGGCTCTGCTTTCTGCTGCTCTGAGGGCTGGGACACCGTAGAGCTGCTCTGGCTACTGGGCCTGGGCTTGGCAGGGAGCACACGGCTGGGAGTAGCCTGTTTTCGGGGAGCCCGGGGGGGTTTGTCAGGGACTAAAAGGGCTCTCCCCAAGCTCCCCATACCGTCACTCCTGCTTGGTCCCAGAGTCCGGCCCTTTCTCTTCTTCTCCTTGCCCTCCCTGTCCTCGCTGGGGACCAGGATCCCTTGGGGCCCCTGGTCACCAGCTTCCCTTGGTGCCTTGGGGTAGCCCTTGGCCAGGGCTCGAGTTGGGGGCTTGTCCATGGCAGAACTCTGGCTGGGGCAGTTGGGCTTGGCTGGGGTGGTGGCCGTCTCACTCTGGAGTTGCCCACTGGCTGGCTGAGGCCGGCTGCCACCTGCTGTCTTGCTGCCGTGCTGTGGGCCTCCATCGCCCTGGGAACTGGGACCTGGCTTGACTTTGAGGGCGCTGGGCTTCTGCCTGTCCTCAGTGCCACGGGCTGGCTCCCCAGGTGTTGGGCTGGCCATGGCTTTCTTCGGTTTCACTGGGAACTTGGGTGCTTTGCTAGGGACAGCCAGAGCTGGCCTGTCCTTTGACGAACTCCGACAGCTCCCGTGCTTGGTGGCAGCACCCTTGTGGGAGCGGACTCCTTTGACCTCCTCTACACCCTCAGGTGTCATGTGGCATGTGGACACCTGCCTGTCCCTCCAGAGCAGGGAGGTGGCTTCTGGGCACTGGTCAGGGTCACATTTGCCGGGGACACTCGGGGTCCTGCCTTTCCCTGAGAATGGGCCAACAGCCCTCTGTTCCTCTATGGCTTGGCCTCTGGCCCCTGGCCGGGGCAGGGACCCCTCCAAAGGGAGAGCCTGCTGGAGAAGAGGCCTAGGACTGCCTGGGGAAGCCTCATCTGTGGGGCTGTCCAGGGCTTGGTCTGGCTTGTGGCCATGTTTGCCATCAGCTGAGGCTGCTGGGAAAGGAGACAGAGATGGGAGGAGCTCCTGGGGGTCAGAGGGCAGATTGTCACTCCTGGCCAGGTGTTCCACAGGATCCGTGGACCTCTCCGGGGTTCCAGGCTGCTCCTTGGTGCTGTTGGGAGCCGCCTCCGAGCAGAGCTGGAGCAGGGCTGGGAGGGACGCCTTGTTCAGGGTGGGGCTGCTGCCCAGAGACAGAGGCCTGTCCACGACGGGCCCAGGGGTGCTGCTGGGCGTGGCCACTCTTCGCTGTTTGCTAGGCAGTGAGCCCCCCTGGGTCTTCTGCCCAGGGGCACCTGGCCTCCGCACCCTGCGGAAAGTGAAGGGCTGCTGCCCCCTCCTCAGGTGTTTGTCCATGTGTCGGTCAAACTGCTCCTTCTTGGCAAACGTATAGTTGCAGGAGCTGCAGATGAAGGACCTCTTGCTGATGTGCGTGACGTTGGCACAGAGCTCACAGGCGTACAGTGGGGTGTGCTGCAGCTCCAGCTCCTCCCTCACACCATGCTCCCTGGCCAGGTGCACACGCAGCTCACTGGGCTCAGGATAGACCCTTGGGCACTGGGGGCACAGGAAGACGCGCTGTGGGCTATGCACCGCCAGGTGGCGCTGCAGCTTGAAAGGCTTGGGGAACCGCTTGCCGCAGTGGTGGCAGTCTCTGGAGGGGTCCTTGCAGTCCTGGTGCATTGGGATGGTGTGGAGTAGGGGCTCTCGGTTGGAGCGGGGTTCAGGGGATGGGCTAGGGCACATCTTGGTAGAGCCAGGGAGAGTGGCAGACCTGCTGGGTAGAGTGGGATTTGTGCAGGCTGGCGGGTTGTTGTTGGCTAAATGGCTTTCTGGCATTAAAGTGCCATCCTGGTTTGAGTTGTTGGTACGAAACTTGGGTTTTGCCCTCCCCTTCTCTGTGGGGCCCCCATCTGCCTGGCCAACTGAGCACTTGCCCCTGTGGGGTTTGGATGCCTGCCCCATTATGCTGCTCAGGAAGCGTGTGACAGTGCTGTCCTCCTCCCAGCATCCAGGTGGGTCCCCCAGGGACCTCCGTGCTGGCCCCTTTCGGGCAAACTGTAGGGCATGTTCCCGCAGATGCTCGTTGTACATCCAGACGTCGGCCACCTCCCTCAGACACATGCCGCAGGCCCACAGCCCCGCCCGGCCCTGCATGTGCTTCTCCTGCAGGTGTTCCCGCAGCAGCTCCCGAGAGCCGAACCTGCGCTCCACACACATGTAGCAGGTGGGGGGTGGGGAGGGGCTGTGGGCCAGCTTGTGCAGGTCCAGCTCACCCAGGCCGTGAAAACGCTGGAAGCACACCCTGCACTTGTAGGGCGCCCTCCTGGCCTTGGCATTCTGGTCTCTGCCTGGGGCCCTTCTGGCCCCTGCCACCTCCTCTGTTCTTTTGCTCTGTGGCCCCTGGGCATTTGCTGTGGCCTTGAAGTCTAAGAAGCTCACACTGGGGAGAACCATAGGGTCTTCGCAGGTTCCCAGAAAGCACAGATCTTGCATCTCAAGTTTGGTGCTGAGTCTCTCAACCTCCACGGCATTGCCCGGGAGCCCGTGGTCGTAGTGTTCTCGCTCCAGGTTGGGGGGCTCAGGGCTCATGTCTCCGAGAGAAGAGGCAGTCTCCTCGGCGGAGGCCCGCAGCTCCAGGTCTCGCCAAGCTGCGGGGACCATGTGCAGCTCGGGAATATTCTCCAACGGGTGGTCCTCGGCACTGCAGGAGGGTTCCTGCTCAGCACAGTCTGCTTCTGGGTCAGGCTCAAGGGACCACAGGCTGGGTCCAGGGGCCCAGGGGTCAATGCCAGGCACCTTGCTGCTGAGGAAGCCATCCAGGAGGAAGGACTCAGGCAGGCCTGTGGCCTCGTCACTCCACGGGTCCTCGAGGGCCAAGCAGAGGGAACCTGAGTCACTGAGATCCGTAGGCACGTGGGCAGAGGGCAGAGCAGCGCTGCTTTGGAACTCCCCTCTGGGTTCCGGCAATGGTGGAGGCTTTGGCTTTTTGCAGCGCTTCCCGTAGACTCGGGGGTTCTTCTTCCGAGTGAAGCGGTTGCCAAGAGGGAAGAGCTGGGAAAAGGAGGCTTCGTCATCAAACAAGCTCAAAGGGTCCCCAAGACCTGGGCTAGGGGCTTCAGGAGTGATGTCTTCAGGCTCCTGGACCCTGTTTTCTGGGTTGTGCTGGGGGCCCTGGAGGCAGCTGCTGATGGTGCCTCCTGCTTCAGAACCACTAGTCTCTGGAGGGCTTGGCAGTCCCCTGGGGGGCCTGTGCCCTTCCCAGTCAGCCTGCCCTGACCTGCAGTCAGCCACCCTGCTGTCCCCTGCAGGTGCACTCCCAGCTGCCCTTGACAGATCTCTGCAGACACCCCAAATCCTGGTCTCTCTGGGCCCCCAGCCCCCCCTTGTCAAGGCTGCCTTCTGACCCTCTGGCCCTTTCCCAGGAGTCACCCCCTCCTTCCTTCCTGGAGGGGTCACCCAATTCCCAGGTGACTTCTGCGTGGGTGTCTCCTGCAGCTCTGTGGCCATGGGGAGAGGCGACTGCGTGACCTCGGTCTCCTGCTCTGCCTCCTGTGAGAGGCTGCAGCTCAGAGCGGGTGGGTAACTGACAATCGTGGGTGATGGATTCCAGCGGCTTCTATCTGAAATCACATCAGGAGAGGCTTGAGGACCGCTCTCCTCCTCGAACTTTCTTGCTCTTGGCTTTCTCGTCTTATTTGATTTCCTCTCTGACTCACTGGGGACATTCATGGACTGTCTGCGCTGCCTCTGGCCTCCTCCTCTCTCTGCCTGTTTGGGGCAGGGCGCATCCTTCGGCAGCAGGTCCCACTCCCTGGGCTCTGCAGGCCTCGAGCCCACTCCTCGCCTGACTGCACCCAGGGCGGGTGGTTCCTGGCTGGGGGCACGGCCTGGTGTTCTCAGAATGCCAAGCCCCTGCTTGAGCCCCTTGGACATCTCGGGGCCTGGGACATCCTCAGGAGCCCCGGAGCCCTGGACCGGGGGTGACTCGGTAGTGTGGCTGGGGCTGCTCAGCCTGTGCCTTGGTTTCTCCTTCCCAAGAGCCCTGCGGCTTTTCTTCCCAGGTGGGCGGCTCATCTGGGCTGCAGGCTCCCCAGGTGGAGGAGCAGGTGGGGCTGGAGGGCTTGGCTGGGAGGTGGCTCCCCCGTGCAGCTTGTGCTTCCTGGCTTTATGGCGACTTAGGCCTGGCCTGGACCGGAAGGTGGCTGAGCAGACCTCACAGGTCACAGGCTGCCGGCTGGGGCCTTGGTCCTTCCAGAGGTTGTCCTCCGTAGACATGGGTCTCTTTTTGAAGCCACAAGGCTTCTGTTTGTGGTCCTGGGAACATGGAAGGTCCCCCTGGGGCATCTGGTGGGAGACACTGCTGAGGCTCTGGGGGGAGCTGGGTCTGAACTTGCTGGCTGTATTGCTCAGAGAGGTGGCTCTGTCCTGGAGGAGCTCTTCATAAGGGCAGGTGACGCTTGGACCTCTGGTGCCAGCTCCTGAGGCCTTTGTAATGCCAGGGCGCCCAGCCCCAGGTGTCCTAAGGTCCTCTTGGCCCTGGGGACTGGCCGCCACCCCACCTTCCAGGCAGGCATGGGGCTCTGGCCCAGCTGTCCTCTGGGTGGGAGGGTCAGTGGGCACAATAGCGGTGCTCTGGCCATCTCTGTTTCCTGGGTGTTCTGAGGAGGGACCCTCGGGTGTCCTGTCTGGGCTGGTGTTGGGCGTGACGCCCCTGCAGTGGGGATCTGGCCACTCAGTCCTGGGGCCTCTGACTGCCTCCGTGCCATCTATGGTGGGAATGCCAGGTAGGGAAGCAGCCTTGATGGTCACTCTTGTGGACATGGCCCTCGCTGGGGGAGGAGTGGCATCACAGGCAGGAGATCCCCTCAGACTCTGTTTTCTGGAACCCCCCAGTGGTCTTGACTTGCGGCCTTCAGGGTGGTCCCCCACATGGGTGGGAGTGAAAACATTGCTGAAGCCTGGCTGGCCCAGGGGAGGGTCTTCCGGGGAGCTTTGTTCCCCTAGGGGAGAGCAGCAAGCCTGGCTTTTCTTGAGGTCACAGGGGCTTGTCCTCAAAGGTGAGGGGGTTGCCAGAGACCCCTCGGCCCTAGAATCTGTGGGATCTGGGGTATTCTCAGCCCTTTCCAGAGCTGTGCAGCCAGAGGAATAGGCTGGCAGGTGCTTTGTGCTGGCAGGATCCCTGCAGGATGGAGACGCTGGGAGCAGCCCCCTCAGCTTGCCCAAAGGCACCGTGGGAGGGTCCTCCTGGAGCACGAGCTCAAGGTTGCAAGGAGCAGGGATGGCTGCGGGAGTGGGCAAGGGGGCACAGCCAGCCAGGCCCCTCGTGGGGAGCTCAGGGCTCTCCTCAGGGAGTAGCAGGTGCTTCTTAGGGCTTGGACCTGCCACCTCCTGAATCCAGTCCTCAGGCCCATTCTGGGCATATGTTGCTGCCAAGGACGGGACCAAACATTCCGATTCCGAGGAGGTGGGGCTGAGTGTGGACTGGGCTTCATCCTGAAGGCCCAAGTTTGTCCTGATTCCCCGAACTGCCCCCCGCAGCTGGTCTGCAGCCCCGGCCAGGATGTCCTGTGTGGCTTCAGGATCGACATTGACTGCGGCTAGGTCATCTACTTCCCCTGGGCTCCCCCAGTTATCTGGTTGAAGTTGGCTGGCTTTGTTTTGGCCTTTGAGCTTCTCAGCCTGGTTGAGTGAGCCCAGGTGGTCATCTCTCTCTGGCCCCAGCTGACATCTGGCCATTGCAGGGATGGTTGTTATCTGCACACCCCACTCCGAGCCCTTGGCAGGGCCCTGGGCCATGTCCCCACATTCCACTCTGTCCCCTTCCACATTTAAGGGGTTGCTCTGCTGAGGGCTCTGGGCATCGGCAAGTGGGGACCCCTGCAAGCCCTGGGCAGCATCTTCGCTCTCAGCTGCTCTGGCCACCAGGAGCTGGAGCTGACGTATTGGGCTTCCAGAGGGATCCTGGGGCCTCCTGCTGGGACTGGTGTTGGGCAAGCAAGCAGGACTTGCAGAGGCTCCTGCTGGTACAAACTCCTCGTTACCCTCAGAGCCAGGCCCCCCTGCTACAGGGTTGAGGGGATCTGCTCCTTTTGGCCCATCTGTGCCGCTTACAGAATGTCCCTTGAGGACCTCACTGTGACTGGAACCAGAAGGTGGAGTAGCACCAAGATGCAGAACTCCAGCACCCCGAAATGCCAAGTCAGGCGCCGGACGGGCAGCAGGGCTGTTGAGTGCTTCCAGCTCGGCAGCATCTTGGCAGGGCCCCTGTGCCCTGCAGGGTCCCGGGGACAGCCCTGTCCGAGTGCAGGGAAGAAGCAGCAGGATATCTTCGTTGTGATGGAGTCTAGTGGCCCTGTTATTTTTAGGAAGTAAAGGCTCACGGTTTGGACTACACTTTGCTAAATGTCCCCTGTCTGACAGGGACCTGAGTGGCTCTCCAGGGTCCGGGAGACAGGTTTCTGGGCAGACCCCGCGGCCCTCTTCAGCCTTGGGGAGCCCCATCCTGGAGACTCTGGTGTCCTGCACTGGCTGGAAACTGAGGCTAGCCCCAGTGGGGCTGAAAGGAACCCCAGAAACCTGGTCTTTGTGGGTACCAGGGGGAGTGGCTGCTTTTCTGGGGTGAAATGAGGGCCACTCCTCCTGCGGGCTCTCCAGGGTCCCCTCCATGGTGGCCATGGCTGATTCTGCTCCTTTCTGGTGTGGGCTCAGTTCCCCAAGACCAGTGGGGTCAGCTGCGGAGAGCGAGTCCTTTTTAGGAGCAGCAGCTTGGTGTGGGGGCAGGGGGGCGCTGGTGCCCGAGGGAACTCTGCCTGTGTTCTGAGCTCTGTGCAGCTCCCCAGGGACCCCGTGCTCGCCTTTACTTTCTAGCTGACTTTCTAATTCAGTGACCAATCTTTTGATCTCCAATTCATCTTCAGACAAGTTGCCCATAAAAGCCATGCTACATTCGTTAACCTTGCAAGGCAAAGGGAGCGGGTTGGCAGCCACCGTCTGCTCGCGAGGACTCTTCTTGCTGAATGCCTTTTCCCCTGAGAGCGGAGGGAAAGGGCCCAGATGGCTGCATAGCACCGGAGAAACTTCCTCCAATAGGGACCAGTCCTTCTCAGGCAGAAATGAGGGGTACGGTGGGTCCAGCTGGGGTCTCCTCAGGGGAGGGTCAATGCATGTGGGTGGCGAGTGTGCACCCCCATTTCCAGACAGGCTGCTGTAGATAGGGGAGTCAAAGTCCCCCGCGGGCAACCCCGAGAGAAGGGGCGTGGACTCCGCAGTCAGTGGGGACTCGGCTTTGTCGGGGTCTGTGTTGACTGCGTACGGCGGGTTCCCGGGAGGTTTTGACTTGAGGGAACTGGCGCCCACACCATCCTGGCACAGGTGCATGCTGCTGGCTGGAGGAGTGTCCAGAGCTAAGGGCTTGGAGTACAAGTCTTCACCGAAACAGCCAGCCAGGTTTTTGGGTCCAAGGAGCAACTCGCTGTGGGGGCTGCTGTAGGGCTGCAGCCCCTTTTTGTCAGCTGGAACCATGGAGTCTCTGTGAAAAAGAGCTGAGTCACACTCAAGCTCAGGGCTCTTTAAAAACAGGACGCTGGCTGCGGGGTGGGCAGTGCTGGTGTTAGTGATGGGCACCAGCGATTCTCCCGGCAGGTAGGCCGGGGGGTCCTCTTCATCATGAGAGATGGTGGGTTCCGTGCACCCGCGCTCATTCAGCAGACTGCCTGCACCTGGTGCTGACGAGCTCCTGTGGGGCACCATGGTGTCCTCTCTGCCTGGCTGTGGCCGCTCTGGGGCTGGGGAACAGGGACTTCCTCCCACACAGGTGGATGGAGGAGAGCTGGAAACATCTCTGAGAAGCTTTGTGGTGACAGGTGGAAAATCCTGATGGAAGTCCAGCGGTGAATGGCTTTCCTCTGGGGTCTTGGCACTGGTGGGAATCTGCAGGAGACTCTCGGGGTCTCTCTCCTCAGGACCCTGTCCAGTCTTAGGGCGTTGCAGTGGGCCCTGGGCCGCGGGGTTCTCACCCGGGCCTGGGCGAGGCATGCCCGACTTCGTGGTTTCCTTCCTCACGACCTTCCTGGGTTTCTGCTGCTCTCGATCTTCTCTGGAACTCGGGGTCAAGTCTACCTCCTTTCTCTTCTCACCTCGGCGCCACTGCCGGCAGCCATGGAGGGGCTGGCCTCTGACGCGGGAGCCCCGTGGCTGCGAGTGGTCCTCCTCCTCAGACTCTGAGGCGTAGTCATATTCCCGGAGCCTGCCGTCCAGGGTGCTGGGTGCGGGACTGTCTGTCTCTGGGGAGAAGCACCTGCCCTGGCCACGCTGCGCCTGCAGCTTGTGCAGCTGATTCTTTTGTTGCACAATCTTGTGGATGAGCTCCTTGCTCCAGGTGCCGCCCTGTGCCTTCCTCCTCCTGGACTCTTTCCCCGGGGACAGTCGGAGGCGCTTGGAGCTCCTGGTCTCTGCTGGGAGGGCTCTACCACAGGGATCTGTGTGGCCCTTGGGGGCTTGTGTCCTGAGGTCCCGGGGGCAAGGTGGGGCTGGCTCAGCCCTGTTACGCCTTCTCCTGGGCCTCAGGCAGGTGGCTCTGGTGCCCCTGCCTGACCTCTTGGCAGTATTGGATGTATCCAGCTCTCCCTGGAAAAACTTAAACTGCTTCCCTCTCTTCTGCTGGCTGCCCAGGCTGGCCCCATCTGCTACTGTATTCACCAGGCTCAGGGACCGGGTTTTAGGCCTATTGCAAGCTGAGTGGCCTCCGTCCCCAGGGCGGGGAGCCTGGGGCTCCAAAGCTGGGAGCAGGAGCTGAGCTTTGTTCTCTGGTGTGGCCCCCACCCTTGTCTTCGGGGTGAGCCCAACACTGAGACCTCTGGAGCCTGAAGGTTCTTCGTCGGCAAAGACGTCAATGAAGCTGCTGTCAATCTCCGGGTTGTCTGACTGGTATTCCAGGCCGTTGAGCGTCTCAGTGATGAGGCTGTCCAGCTTGGCATCATCCTCCAGGTCCAGGTCCACAGCAGAGAGTGGGAAGGGGGCAGTGGTCAGGCCGGACAGGAAACTTGTCCTCAGGGGGTCGTCTTTGCCATCTACCCGGCCGTCTGCCCCTAGCAGGTAGGGGACTGTCTTGGTGTGGCTGAGCAGGCTTGGGTTCCCGCTGGCCGCTGCTTTGGGAGCAGCCAGCACAGAGGGGACAGTGGGGGCTGTGGGGAGCTCTGAGGGCTGCGGGTGGCTGTCCTTGGTCCTGGCCAGGAGCGCACTGCAGAACTGCCGGTGCTCCAGAAAGGTGGCTAGGCTGCTGTAGTTGCGGTCGCACTGCTTACAAGTGAGCAGCACGTCCAGCTGGTCCAGGCTGGCACTGCTGAGGGGGAAGTGGTGGGCGGAGTAGGGGGGTGGCTCCGGGGGGAAGCCCTCCAGGCCCCTGCTGCCCACCTCGGGGGCCACACTAGGGAATGGGGCCTCCTCCAGGCATTTGAAGGTGCCCTCGGCCCCCAGCCCCTCTGTGAGGAAAGGGAAGGTCTTGACTGGCTCTGGCTGGTAGTGGATGGGGAGGGTGTGTGAGGGCTCCGGGGACGGGAAGGGGCTGCTCTTCTCCTGGGAATGACTTGGGGTGTGGAAGAAGGCAGAAGGCCCTAGTGGGCCAGGGAGCTGGCTCTCCTCTGAGCTGGGGTTGGCTGGGCTGCTGGACAGTGGTGACAGCGACGAGCAGGTGCTGCTTCCGGCTGTATTGGTAGCAGGTGAGGGCAGTGGGGACTCACTGGGAGAGGCTGCCACCAGCCTCGGTTGGGGCAGGCCAGAGGTCCCTCGGGGGGAGACCTGGGGCTGGGCTACACCAAAGAATAGGGGCTGGGGCCCAGGGTCCTGCAGCCCGTTGTAGGTGAAGAGCCGTGGGGAGCCGCCGCCATGCTGGCCCGGGCTGTTTCTCAGAACTGCCAGCTTCTCCCCCAGCCCAGGTGTCTTGCTGGCAGCGACCAGGGCTACATGGCTTCCCCCCTGCCACTCAGGGGTGCCTGAGGGAAAAGGCAGCTGGCTCAGCATCTCCACTTCATGGGGTCTGGGTCCAGTGGCTGGGAGCATCTGGGGCCAGGGCAGCGGGGGGTTCTGGGGGAGGCCAAGCTGCTGGCCTGGGCTTGGCTGGCCTTCAAAGAAAGCACTCCTCGTAGCGGCCAGGGGGCCCGGGGGAGGTGCGGGGTAAGAGGCTGTGGTGGGATCCCACAGCTGGGGCAGTCTGGTGGGTGGGGGCCCAGGGGTGGCCAACTCTGTGTCCAGAGACCCAGGACTGGTGCCCACCCCACTGGCTCCCGGGCTTCCATATGCCTGCCCGGGAACGTGCCCCCGGGGCAGAGAGTTTGGGGGTCCCCTGGGGCTCCCCAGCCCATTGTGGGCTGAAGGTGGTCTCTCAGAGAGGGCTTTGGTCAAGCTCTTGTGCAAACTGTCTGGGAAAGTGGCCGTGCTCTCTGAGAAGGGGCTGGGGGCTGGGAGAGCAGCACCAGATGGGGGGAGAGCACGGCCGAGGTCACTGGGCGGGTCAAGGCCTCTGGGCTGGCTGGGGTAGCAGGGCGGGGGCGGAGGAGCAGGCTGGGTGGGCAGGGGGTAGGTCGAGCCTGTGCCCACAGCCTCCTCCTGCCACTCCCCCCGAGGCTGGTGGAAGGCAAACACCAGCGCCCTATCTGGGTATTCAGGCCTTGCCGTGTCCTTGGGGAAGGGCTTTGGGCTGGCCCCGTGCAGCGTGGGGAAGGGGAACTGGAAAGAGTCCACCCTGGGGCTGCCGCTTTCAGGAAAGGGCTCCGGCTTCGCAGGGAGGACCCGAAAACTAGCACCTGGTAAGTTGTTCTCGGCAGTGGGAAGCCAGGCATCGGCCCCACTGGCCTGGAGTTCTGAGTAGGAGGCCAGCCTGCAGGGGCTGGCACCACTGCTCTGGGGGGCCCTAAGGGGTGGGGGCCCCTGGGTGGCACTTGGTGAGGTATAACTGGTGGAGGTAAAGCTGGAGGGGGTCTCCTGGAAGCACCTTTGGAAGCTGAGCTCTTCTGGGGCAGGAGGGGCCTCTGCCTCTGGGGGCCCGGGGGCTTCATGCTGTGGCCCCTCCGGGGTCTCGTCCAGGGCAGGTCTGGCCCTTGAGCCTGAAATGCTCAGAGTGTAGAGCTGCTGGGGGCTGCCGTCCGCCCTGCCTGCATGCCGCGTGGGAGCCTGTGTGTGGCTCCTTTCTAGTGGGGTCCGGGGGCTGCCACCTTTTCTGGGGGGGCTGCTTAGAGGCTGGGGTCTCAGGAGGGGGGCCTTGGGCTCCACCTCCCTAGCCTGCCCAGGCTGGGTATCCGGGGGTTCCATGGCCTGCACCCCACTGCTCGCCTCCCGTGTGGCCTTGGCGGTCCTGCTGGCTGGGGTGCCGTCCTCGCAGGGGGGTTGTGTGGCTGTGCCACTGGCCATGCCGCTGGTTGTTTGGCAGGACTGTAGGCCTCCGGTCATGGTTGGGGCTGGTGCTCCGCGGGGCTGCTCCCCAGGCATGGCCCCTCTGTCCGGGCGCTAGGAGGATGTGGTGGTCCGAGGAGGTCTGTGGGGAGTGGGCCGGGGGGCTGTCCTCGCCCCTCGGGGGGCCCTGGAGAAGCCTGCTCTCATGGTCCTGGGTGGGGCCTGGAGGGAAAAGACGGAAGCAATGAGTAGGGAGCGATGGAGGCTCCCTGGCCTACATGGAAGCTGTGACGGGCTGGGAGTGGAAGCAGCTGGCACACAAGCCCTGACCTTCAGAGAGAGGAACTCAGCTCCGATGGCACTTCTCGAGGCAAGAGGAGAAAAAGCGTTCCTGCCAGACTGAGCATGGGGTTGAGGGGAAAGGGAGAGAAGGAGAAAGAAAGAGTGTGCTGTTTGGGGCCTGAGGGTCTCAGAAGACCCCGGGCCATCTCGAAGCAGCCCTGTTGGCTTTGGCCAGGCTGTGAGTGAAAGGCCCCGGGCGTGCAGAGGCCCCGTGGTGGGGACAATGAGCACCTGCTGGCTGTCTGCGTGGCCGGAGCTACAGCCCAGATGGGGTCAGGGGGCAGCCCAGGTAGGACAGAGGAGGGACCTCGTATCAGAAGCTGAGCTGGGAAATAAGGGATGAGACTGTGCATGCCTGAGTCTGGCCTGAGGCTCACACTGGGTCCTGTGACGGTCTTGCAGCTGGTGGGCACAGGACAGCCTCAAGCCGCTCGCTCTGGGGACCCACTGGCCACTCCCCAGGGTAGGGTCTGTGTCTGACTCTCTAGGTAGCACCAGGCACTGCTGGGGCTCCCTCGCTGTGTTTGGAGACCTGCCCAGGGATCATACCCACTGAGGAAAGGTGTTCTTCCTGACTTGGGGTACAGACATCTCTGTCTCTCCTGAGTGGGGATGGTTCCAGCACTGGCCAGCAGAGGTTGACACCCTGTCCCCCTGACCCCCCGTCAGCCCCGTGGACCCTCCCCTATCCCAGCAGCCTGGGTGCCCCTCCCCTCCTAAGCAGAGGTCTCACCCCTTCCTCTGGGCCCCACTGCCTGGGGCCAGCCCTCCCCTCCTCTTCCCATCTCCATACTGGGAGACCTTGGGGCAAGGTCTCGTGGGTGAAGGTTGTTGAATGAATGGCTGATAGCAGTAACAGCAGCGTGAGCGCCTCCTGAGCATTTGGCTGAGGGCCAGGGGCTGAGCACTTTCCATCAATCACTTCTGTTCTCATGGTGGCTCTGGAGGCCAGAACTGTTAGAGCTCTGGGGAGGTGAGTAACTTGCCCATGGCCTCAAAGCTGGTGGAGGGCACTGGGGTCCCCAGGACAGACCTTCTCCAGCCAAACCACACATGGCCTGGGCACCTGACCCCTCAGGAAGCCCCCTGCAACAGCGAGGGCAGGGCCTGTGAGGCGCCAGCCCCCCGCTGCACCGGCCTGCTGTTGGGCCCGAGACTGCTCCCTCAGTCTCCCTGAGCCTGGGAAGTGGGGGTCCCAGGAGGCCCCCGATGGGGCTGTTGTGAGGTGACAAGAGTCGCCGTGTCCACACTGTGATGTGATAGGTCCCCTGTGGATCATCTGCGGTTTCTGTGGTTTTCCGACTATTCCTGCTTCTGGCCGAGCCTGGGGCCCCCAAGCCAGGGGGCCTGCCTCGTCCCCACAGCCTGGTGTGTGGCGTGCAGTGGGCACTCCAGATTGAGGAAAGGCCAGTTTCCATGCCCTTGAAAGAGGGTCGGTAGCAGTGCCACCCTCACGAGGTCATCCTAAAGGTCAACATTCCTGTGATCAGGCACGGTGCCTGACACGCAGGGGCACTACCTCCCTGTGACCCCTTCAGGCTCAGTGCCCCTGCCCCGTACCTGGGGTCCTGGCCTTGTTTCTCCAGGGGCACTGCTGGAGGCCTCGAGGCTGCAGCCGTACCTCAAGTGGGGCCACCTGGGCCACCCTGAGTGGGCTTAGGGGCAGAAGCCTCTGACCCCATGGCCTCACCTGCTCTCAGAGCCACCTGTAGCTTCTCAGTAGCCCAACGCTCTGCCTAGGAAGCTCCCCATCGGGGTTCAAGGCAGTAGACCACATTCCTAAGATTCTGTTTGTCCCTGAGGAAGGGCTGTTCCAGCTCGCCCCACTGCTGGCAGGCAGGGCCACAAGGCTCCATTCAGCCACCAGCTGGGAGCAGCAGGGACTCAGGCTCCTTCTGAGCAGAGACTGCCAGAGCAGAGGCCCAGAAGCCCGCCTTGCTGCCTTTTGAGGACTGAGGTCACAAGCAGTGGCCAGGGGGTGGGCTGACTGCCTGGCTGCTGGCGGGGCGCTCACTGTCCATCTCTGGGCTCCCTCCCCCATCAGCCAAGGGGAGCCCCAGTTATCTCAAAGGGCCCATTTGGTTCCAGCAGCCAGAACTGGCTTCTCTTGGCGGGAAGGCCAGTCACTGGGACCGGCCCCTTGCTCACGCATTTGCATTCACAAGAGTACTTCCGGACATCCGCCTGGTGCCCAGCGTTCACGGGCTGAGATAGACTGCAGCTCTGGAGCCTTGACCCTGGCTCAGAGCTCCTATAGGGCCACAGAGGCTGGGCATGGGCGGGGGGTGGCAGGGAATGGCAATTATTGAGTACCTACTGCATGCTAGGTGGAACTGAACTTAGGGCCTGGAAGGCCGAGGAGGGGGCTTCTGCATGGCTGGCACCAGCAGAGGCTTTCTAGAGGAGGTGGCCTCCGTTCTGGCCACCTGGACGGAGAGGGCATGCCAGGGAGAGAACTGTGAGCACACACTGGTGCAGGGCTGCTTGGAAAAACTAGGAGAAAGAGTTCTGTGCCCCAGGAAGGAACTATGGGGAGCTGGGCCAGTTCCTGAAGGATAGTGAGGCCCTCGCAGGGTGGGCGAGTGGGGCCCCAAGTGAGCCAGCATCCAGGTTGCAGCCAGCAGGTTGGGCAAGGTGGCCTGCCTTTGCATGCACACTGACCCAGGCCAGGGAGTCTCCTGGGGGGCCCCTTTGTCACTGGCTCCAGGGACACCCCACAGGGAATGCCCTTTACCCAGCTGCAGGGTGGTGATCCAGCAGAAGTCGGGACAAGAGCCGGCCCTGAACCAGCTGGTGGTTGGTGTCTGGCCCTCCCTAGGAGTAGGAGGGGGTCTGGCCTGAAGGCCCTCCCGTCTGAACTTCTCAGGCAGCTTAAGGAGGCAGGACCCAGGCCGACCTGCAGATCAGGCCCAGGGCTCCAACTGCAACAGGGAGTACAGTCTGTGGGGTCAGGCACGTGGAGGTGCCGAGGGCCTCTGGCCTGGCAGAGGCTTCAGCTGTCCCTGAACAGGCTGCTACTGGGACATGACAGAGGGCCAGAAGCCCCGGGGCCCGGGCCTCCCCACGGCTTCCAGAGCTTGTCAGGGGGTGGCGGGTGAGGCCAGGGTAGTCGTTAGACAGTGAGCCCCGCAGGCCCAGGCTCTAAGAAGCCTCGGAGGGGGCTTCTGGTTTTGGTCCCCCCGCCAATGTCGGCTGCACAGCCCCAGGCACGTCTCCGAGCCTCAGTCGGCCTCGGCGTCTCTGCCGTGATCTGGAAATAACACTGGGACCTGTCTCACAGAGTGCGGCAAAGGGGGACCAGTGTGTAACCTCTTCATACAGCATCCAGCAGAGAGTGTGGTGGGGCCAGCACCTCCCTGACTGTCGAGGCCTGTCACCCTCTCGCCCTGATTTGCTCATTGGCACCGAGGAGATGGAGGGAGGAGACTGCGGGAAGGGGGCTGTGGGGGAAGGCTGGGTGGGGTGAGAAAATGGGAAGAAGTGGCTAATTTGTGGTTGGTTTGAAAACAGCTTTGTCCCAGGCTCCCCTCAGATCTGAGGAGGCCTGAGTTGCTGGTCCCTGGAGAACTTGAAGCGGCAAGCTGCCACTGCTGCCCTGGACAGTCCTCCCACCTGGTTCAGGGCCCGGCTAGGAGCCACACGTGCGTCCCAGGCAGATGGCTCAGGGGGTCGATCTCCGGGGGAGGCAGCTGGCATCCCCATTACCACCGGCCCCGGTGGGGTGGGTGGGAAGGCTGGGTCGAGGGCATCTCTGGCCGGGTGGTGACCGGTGGTCCCCTTCTACATACCTGGGGAGTCCGGCCCTCAGCTGGGTCGCCGCACAGCCTCCTGAGGAATGAGGACTTCTTGGCTGCAAGGAAAATGGAAATCATGTCAGAATCCATGTGGTGCCAGGCAGAGGGAGCGACTCCCAGGCGAGCCCCCACCCAAACGCCATGCAGAGCCAGGGGCTCCCGGGGGCCAGGAAACCGGCCAGGAGAGACGGTGAGCTCGGGAGGTGGGCAGGCAGCTGAGCCTGGCCCGGGAGCCCAGCAGCACGGGGGGTCAGCTGGCTGCCTTTGCCCCAGGTTTATTGATTATTTTATATTTCTTTTCGTTACATTCTTATGCACAGACTACACATGCGTGTGGCTCCCAAACTTGACACGGTGTTCAAAGGTCTGCGGTGAGAAGTCTCACCCTGTGCCCTGGCCGGTTGGCCCTCTCGCCCCTTCCTGCTGTGTAAACACTCGGGAACTTCTTGTGTTTCCTTCCAGAGTTTCTTGATGTAAACACCGCAAATCCCATCCCACCTTCTTCAACAAAAGAGAGTCTACAGCACTCGCGCTTCCAGACCTTTTTTGCATTTACCAACGCATCTTGCAGGTAATTCTGCAGTACTGCATAGATTCCTGTCCCTCCGTCCACCTCTCTACCACAGACAGCTACAGAATATTCTGCAGGATAGATGGGCAGCTATTAGGGTATCTAGACCCCTCCCGGCCGACACTGGGTCGTCTTACATTGGGCCTCACAGGGTAAACTCTAAGAACAGTGATGACGGGGTCCAAGGGCAAGTGCATTTGTGATTGGAAGAGATATTGTCAAGTTAATCCCTGGGGTGGCTTTAACATATGGCCACAAAATTTTTAATCCTCCTTTCTTGGAAAGGTGGGGCCCAGTTCCTTCTTATCAGATGTGGGCTGCACCTGGTGACTTGCTTACAAACAAAATGTGGCGGGAATGAGGGTGTTGGACTTTAGAGATCAGGTCAT